CGCAGACGATGGAACGATGAGCTGTATGAGCTTTACAACGATATGGACATAGTGCAGCGAATTAAAATACAGCGGCTCCGCTGGCTTGGTCATGTCGTTCGAATGGACACCGACGCTCCAGCTCTGAAAGTATTCAACTCGGAACCCGCTAGTGGTAGGAGAGGAAGAGGGAGGCCCCCACTGCGATGGAAAGATCAGGTGGAGAAGGACTTGGCTTCACTTGGCCTCAGTTGGCACAGAGGAGAAACGACTGGCGTGCTTTGCTGAACTCGGCCAAAATCGCTTAGGCGGTTACAGCGCCAAAAAAAAAGAAGAAGAAGAAGGCATGCCTAAAAACGAACGAGTAAGCTTTTTTGCGTAATTTTGTACGAAAGCAATTCTGTCTCGGAGGCGAGATAAAAGATGTAAATCGATGTGCGTTTGCAGGAAATATTAGTGGTGTTCATTTAAACAGATAAATTTGCCTTTCGCATATACCTATATTTTTATCCACTGCTTTATATAAAGAAGCAAAAAAGAATCTTTGTTGCCCCTTATCGAGAAACTTGGGTCCGTTTTGGTTATTTGTTAAATGATTTTCGGTTGTTGTGTCCAAACGCATAACCCGAATCAAAAAATCAAAGGATTGAGCTTTTATTTAAAATAAATGTTTCAAATTTACGACCACTAGCTTATTAATAAATTCGTTTTGCACTATGCACTTTTTTTGGCAAATTTCGATGTGGGTTCTGCGCAAAAATACAGTGGATGGCGTAGCCGGAGTGATATGCACAAAAATGTTGTATAGCTTTGACATGCGGAAGCCCCTCTTCTTCGACAACAAAGAGAGGAGAATTCTACTTAGTAAGGGTTATAATCCCTAAGCGCGGCCGAAGGCAGAAGCAAGCGCAACAGGTGGTGGACCTAACAAAGCGCATGTTTTCAATGGCTTGGAAGAAACTGTTATTGCATTAAATGGATTGTGAACCAGTTCTTCAGGCATAGGAGGTTGTGGTTGAACAATTCAACCAGTAGCTGACATAGATGCGTCCATGGTTACTATGCCCGACAGCTCGGCATATCTGCAGCGAATGGAAATGGATTCAGCCAATACCACCGCACCAACTTCCGAGGTACAGCCGCCACGTCCACAGCTTCCTCAAGCAGTACAACAATTGCCTGTAGTACAGCCGCTAGTGTTGCTGTCAACGAATGCATCGCAATTTATAGAGGGTTCAGCCGCCGAGCTACATCCTCCGCCAACCTTCGATGGTAGTCCGGAAGATTGGCCATTATTTTTTGAAAATTATGTGGACACTACGGCGAGTTCGGCTATAACAATAGGCAAAACCTCATGCGGTTGCAGAAAGCGCTGCAAGGCAATGCCAAACGGGCGGTTGTGTCTATGCTAATATACCCTGAGGACGTGCCTAAAGTTATGAAGGAGCTGGAGTTCAATTTTGGCCGGCACGATTTATTAATCTGTGCGCAACTACAAAAGGTGCAACAGTTTCCCGCAATCCATGACAATCGGCTAGACCAGGTTCTGGAATTTTCGAACCGGGCTCGTAACATTTCAGCCTTCTTCAAATCAGCAAGATGTGAGCACCACCTCATGAACCCAACACTTCTCGAACAGCTAATCTCGAAGCTGCCGCCGTCGAAGCAATTCGAATGGAGCAAACATGCCGCCAGTATCTCGCCGTTTCCTACTGTTGGGAACTTTGCTGATTGGCTGAGTGACTTGGCCAAAGTTGTGTCCATAATGCCTGACGTCGCTGACATATCGCTGCGTTTTAGCCAACCACCGTTGCCATTGTCGCGACAAAGTACAAACGCCAATCGTCAGTCTGGGTCGAGCGGAGGTCCAGTTCGTCGAGTTCTACACAGTAGTGAGGAGCAGCGCGTATGCCTGTGTTGCAAACAGTCTCACGTCATAACCAGTTGCCATCAGCTGATGCACCAAGATTGCCGTACGTTGTCAGAGCCAACTTCCGATCGGGAACGCGTCCTAAACTGAAGCCAGCTTGTTTAAAATATTGCCTGTTATGTTGTCCGGCCCGCATGGCAGTATAAAGGTATATGCCATGTTTGACGAGAGGTCTTCCGTGTCGTTACTGGAAGAGAGCGTCGCTACACAGTTGGGGTTAAGAGGTCGTGACAGTGTAGGGTATTTTACTTGAATGTTTTTATACTTGTTTAAATTCTTGATTTTCAATTTATGGTTCTATGAATTTGTTTGTAGTTGAAAAGAAAATTTTTGATTATTAATAAATAAACTTTCAATTTTAAAACATTAACATACTTTTATTTAAAAATAAACTTAAATATAAATATATGTATATCCTATAAATTGGCGATCCTGCCAATTTGTAGAATATATATATATTTAAGTTTATTTTTAAATAAAAGTATTTTAATGTTTATATATTGAAAGCATCGTATATACTTACAAGTATGGAATCCTATGCCCCTTTTTGTCTATTCTCTTTCTAACAGCGGACGTGTCTGCCAAACTGAAAAGTATGATGGCGGCAGTGTTTGACAGGCACCTTCGACGATGCGAACGGCAATGGAAGGTAAGAAATGGAAGATGGATGACATGACAATGAAAGAATTATGAAATAGCAGAATGTCGAACCAAAACGAATTTCAAAAATCTGACAATGCGAATGACGTCAAAATGAAAGAAATGCAAAATACCGAAATGTCGAAACAGAAGAAATAGATGACAGGCACGTGTTCAAGGGTTTCGTGCAACAAAAAGAGTTGTTGTGTTGCGCCATTCAATATTAAAAAAAA